CAGCCAGCAAGGGACCCGAAGAGCCAACACAGGAGACAAAGGAAGAAACCAAAGAGAAAAAAGCAAGGGGAAATGAATCTAATTAATTGCATTAATGAGCTGAAAAAGAAGAATAAGCTCATTAATGAGCTGATTTTTAGTAGAGATAAAGCAACTCACCAAAATTAAAACACAAAATATTTTTACCCCTCCCTTTTCTACATCACTTATGTTGTTGGAATGCATTGTAAAAACTGATATTTTGAGCATTTAGGGATCCTAGGGTCAACAAGTATAGAATGGTGGTGAACCTTTTATTTAATAAGTGCACTGTGTGCACTCTATGGACCAAAAAAAAAAAAATCTTCCATATGAATTGATATTATAAAATGAGTTTCCTTGTGCTCTTAAGATGATAGAATCATTGAATTGCATATCAACTCATTTTAAGTTATATAACAATCATTATCAGGTCTAAATGCCAAAAAACCAAATCAAACTAGCACAAAATAAATGTTAAATTTACAAAATTTTTTTGTGTGGGATTTCTAATATTCTATAAAATAGCCTATATATAATCTCAAAATTGCATAATGATCCATTTGTTATAAAAAAAATAATAACAATGAAATAATATTTATGCCTTTTAATTCTTTTAGGTTTAAATCAATATCTTATACCCATGGGCAATATTTATTTGATCCGTGATTGACATCATATTAACATATTTATCTTGCTTAGTAAAGCTCTTTAATGAATTAAACATATAAGCATGCTTCAAAAAACATACCACAACACTTAGAAATTTAATCAAAATGAGAAAATCATTATGGATAATTTGAACATCCATAAAATAACATACAATAACTAATAATCCGATTGTTATATTTATATAATGCTAGTGCATTGAAGTTCATTACACGGTATGAGAAAGGATACTATCACACCCAAGATTTCAAAATAGCCCCAATTCACTAAGGGCTCTTATATACCTTTAGGTAACCCAAATGCTTCTAAATCATGACATTTACCTGGTTGATTATGCAAAAAGTCTAAGGATTGTAGTCTGATCTTATTGATTCTCACAATGCATGGTTATAAGGCTCTTACTTATCATTCTACATTCAAAACAACTAGGCCAATGCCATTGTCCCCTTAAAGCCTTAGTTATCAATGCCCCCTTAAAGCCTTAGTTATCAATGCCATGCTATTAGACCTCTTTCACAATTGGAGATGCTATTCCTAATTTCCTATTAATCCTATCGAAATTCAAAATGATAACCCAAGACTTAACTTACGATCATTCCTTATGGATGTGAATTGCATGCCAATTAATGAGCTAGCACAAAGTTTCTCAAATTAAATCAAATAGGTCTCACTATCTATCGAGCATGGCCATAAGATCATCGTTACGCTTTCCTCGTCCTCAAGATTGTATGCCCTATATTTGGGCCTTCTAGTGGATGTAACTCTCATTCTGATTAATTTGGGTTGGCAAAAGGCCAACAAACTTATTAAATCAATTATTGGTCTTTTCTATGGATGGAAGCCCCAATTCAAATTAAGCTCGGGTCAAACTCATATTCTATGAAAATATCCAATGAAAGTCAACTCTACTTATTGATTATACTTATACCCAAAACCAACCAAGTCTTCATGTCTTAGATTCATTTTTCTTAGTCAACATAGGTTTGTGAACAATTGATGGTAATGCCATACCTTTGAGTTCATGTTGGTTTTGTCCAATACCTCGGAACTATAAGCGACCAAGCCTTTGAATTATTCAATGGAATTTGGTATGACTAGGGCCCTTTGGATTTGAATGAGTTGACTGTAACCTCTAAGCATATCTTTGATGCATATGTCCAGCCCTCCTGACCGCAGTTGTTCGAGATACTTGAGAGGATGCAACACAATGTTGCCAATTAAGTTCCAATACATCATTGTTCAATGCCCTTTGATGTTGGAAGATTGGGTCCACCGGTTTCCCCGGAATGAATAATGATGAGTTCTTGATTTGATCTACTTTCATCAACCTTTCTCATTCAATTAAATTCATATATAACACTCAAATTTAAGGCTGAATTTGAGCCTAAACAATCTCCTTAATAGAGATCACCCTTTGCAAGTTGGAGGGTGGTTAATGCGGTTTGCCATAGAAAGTATCAACCATGGTTTAAAATTGCGCAATATGAGGCTCGCCTTTGCGCAGTTCCAGTAAAAAACGCCTCGATGTTTACGCCTCGAGTTTTTTTATGAGGCTTGCGCCTCAACTTGGTTGAGGCCCGCTTTGCTTCACAAGCCTCACGCTATATATATTAAAACTTACATAAATCTTGAAGTAAATGCCCGACATTGGACTCTATAGGAGAGGAGGAAGGGGAGAGAGCAGTTTACCATAATGATGATTCAAATGAAGAACCCCTTAGTGATGAAAGTGCTGATGACTTATGAGTTCTTATGTGATATGTCTTTGCTATTTATTTTTGGAAATTGGAATTATATGTTAATGAAAAGAATATTGGAATTTGGGAAAGATAGAATTTTGAGTTGAACTATATTTCATGTTGTCTTATTATTGGGATATTTTGATTTCACTTCATATCTTATGCTTTTTTTATGTTTTATATTATTCACTCATTAGTATATAAAAATTTTATCATTTTATGTTTACGCAATCTTTTGATTTTGAGTCTTACGCCTCAAAACGCCTTGAGGCTTACGCCTCGCCTCACGAATGAAAAACGCCTCAATACCCAAATACGCAATTTTAAACATTGGTATCAACTATAGATTTAAATTAATTGCAACACAACACTATGGGAAATTTGGTTAAACTAGATCTTATCCACCTCTTGGAAAGCTACTGCTGAGTTTTCTTACCAAGGAGGCTTGAGAGAAGGGGTTGAATTTTGCTGGGTGATTAATTTGGTGCTGCATTTTCATTTCAATAACTATGGGTCAAACGCTCCATCAGCTCAAATGCCACCTATATCTTTGATGAATTCAACCTACCAAAGATTGTATACTGTGTGACATCAATAAGAGCTCACATTCATTAATTGAGTCTATCCCTTATTCACTCCTCTTTTGTGGATGGGCTCTTCAACTATCTAAATTGAAGCACATGACCTCATGATCTCGATAACTCTTGAATGTTGAGCATGAATGTCCAACAGACTTGTACAATACGTACACACATAATATGTAACTATCTTCACCCTTATATGGTTATCATTCTCAATATCATCCTCACATGCATGCAATGAGCATTCACATGCAAAACATGTATGGTCATACTTGATCAAAATCTAGGAATTGGTATGAATGTAAAAAAAAAAAACCTAGATATCAAGACAAGGATACATGTTGGAATTGGAATGGGTTTTTTAATCCTTGCATTAAGAATCAAGCAATTTCTCTTTGTTTCAATATTTTCATTCTCATTTCTAGAAGCCTTTACTAAAGTATCTTCTTTATGCAGTTATCATGGTTTCCATTAGGGATAGAAGCTTCTTCATATCAGCTAGTAATAGTTATTTAAAGTACCGCTAAAACTAATTAATTCACATATGTTACAATCCCACCAAACTTGTGCAATACTTTCATTTTTAGGAAGTTTGATCTTCAAGTTTTACATTATCAATCAACTAAATTATAGTAAAATATTTACAAATTAATTTGATCCATGTTGTTAATCAGCTAATGATTAATGAAATGTCATGATATTGTTGATTAATATCCTCTATCGATGTATCAGCATTAAAGCATGATTAGATTAATTTGATCTTATGCATGCCTGTCAAAATTTTGATTTAATATCATCTTATCACTTTGTCCTCAACAATTTTCTGTCAAGGAATGATTCACGAAGAGATTAGCATTATTCCCTTGTGCAATGTAATTTAATTATATGATCAAAATCCATTAACTATATAATTATCTTCTAAAAGATAATAATGATAAATGATGATGAAACTACAACATTATCATCTAATACACACACACACACATACTCTCGCACAAACAAACAAAATGACGCACCAGTTATATACATACATAAAATAATACATCAGTCTCTCTTCTTCTGCAATAACATAATTAATTACCAATTTAGGAGTTCAATCAATAACTCATTGGCATCTTGGAAACAAAGTTTTCACCACTTTGGATGGGTAGATGTCGTAGATGTTTTCTTATAAAAGCTGCCATACACACTCCCCTAGGATGGGTAGATGTTTTCATATAGAAGGTTCCATACACGCTCCCCCTTTTGGTATCACATTGAAAACACATATCCCTAAAACCATGATTGGGAAAAAACACCATTATGTCTGATTGCTTGCTAATTTCCTAGTTAAATTTGCCTATCCTTAGTGTCCTTGATATCCACCCCAGCAATTATAGGTTAAATTACCATAACTTTTTGCCAATGCATACATGAACTCAACATGCCAAAGAGGAAAGTACAACGCAAAACTTGGCAATTTCCATGAGTTTACACTCTTGTACTCAATAATAGAAATCATTCCCGTTAACAGAATGTTGTTCAAACTACCAAATTGAAGCACATCTCCTTATGGTCTTAATGTTTATTTGGAGATCAGGCATAGCCATCCTACATTATGTGTGCATAATCTGCACACATACATGCAACTGCCCTCACCCTCGTTAGATAATCCATTTGAGTATATCTCAATCATGCACATGCAATACATGGTTGGTGCAAACACTATATTATGATGATATGGCCAAAGCGAGTCCTTTCATATTACTGTATAAGTTTAAATAACTAGTACTAGTCGAATAGTTTTAAAACATTGTTCTTTTAAAAAATAGAAAAAAGCGGTGCTTTACAAATTTCTGATATATGCAGTGTGTTTGGTGGTTACAACATTTCCTGCTCTTGTTTTCTTGAGAAGATCTTTACATTCATTTAAGATGGGAAGTTCTAATGATCTGCAAGGTTGTTTTAAGAGCACAGCCTAGTATCATCTTATTTTATCTTATTTTCTATACAGGCCAGTGCTTTTGAACGACCCGTTTTCACGCATTCAGATGTCAAGCCTGGGATGTTGGCTAGAGCTCAAGTTATTGTTGTGGAGTCATTTGGTGCGATTGTCCAGTTTGAAAGTGGTGTGAAGGCACTCTGTCCATACCGACATATGTCAGAATTTGAACGAGTAAAACCTACCAAGAAGTTCAAGGTATGTATTTGGTGAACTCCCCTAATCACTGTCACCATACTTGCAATTTTTAGCTATTGGAAGTAAGTGACGTGATTTATGTATTTGTATGTGTTTGTAGTTTTTCATCATATTGATTACACGGCAATCATGTTGTTGAAGGGAGCTTAATGCACACATATCTAATAATAACATTATTCACATTGCAATTGACAGTATACATACTAATGAAATGGTTTCAATTATGTTATGATTGTAGCACTGCATTTTTTCTAGCTTACTGTCACATTCATATGAATTTTTGGTGGAAAAAATAAATAACTGCTTGATAGCAAATTTTTAACAAATAGAATTTTTTATCATTAAAATGCATCGGTTGCACTTGATGAAAGAGACATTTTTTTGTAACAATTTTAGTTGGTTGAACTTCTTGCAGCTTTATTGTTTGTCGTTTTGTTGTTGCAATGCTCTATATTTTAAGCAATGCTTTATCGATTAACTTTAATTTAGATTATTTATCATCACAAATGATCTAACTTTGTTTTGTTATTTTATATCTTTCTATATATTTTTTAGGTTGGAGCTGAGTTTCTTTTTCGTGTGCTGGGATGCAAATCCAAGCGTATTACTGTGACACACAAGAAGACTCTAGTATGTATCTTTCAAGTTTCATTTTCTTAGCTATTTGTACGGCTTTTCTATGCTACCCATGGGATGGCGTGGAAGACTTGATCCTCATTTTTGGCAATAAAGCAAAAAAGCCACCCCCAATCCCATGCCCTGTATTTAAAATAGAGAGGGATTCTATCCATTCAGCCAAATAATATAAAATAACATAAATGAACATCTTCTCATGCCAGTAATTTCTCTGTAATTTGAAGATGCAAAAATTTTAAATTTTTCACAAAGCTTTCATTTAAAGTGTCTGATCATGTTGAGATTTAAACTCGAAAGACATGCTTGGGTCCTCAATTGAGATGCTGAAAGTGTGTGGCTCTGATTCTTTCTCGATATGCACTATAGATCGATCATTTTTAAAATAGTTTTTATGCAAGTATTTTTGTGCTTTGATTTTGCTAGTTCATAGCTTATCATAAAATGATATTTTGACTTTCTGAGTTTCAAAGACTAGCGAGTTGCACTAGTGTTTGTGATATGATTTCCATGATGCTTATGTATGCATTCTTTAATTCTTTGTTTGATTTATTTAATTTGTAAAAAATTTAATTATTTTCTTGTTTGATTCAGGTTAAATCAAAGCTTGGTATTTTGGCTTCACATGCTGATGCTATTGAGGGCTTAATCACACATGGATGGATTACCAAAATTGAAAATCATGGTTGTTATGTCAAATTTTACAATGGGATTCTGGGTTTTGCCCCAAGGCTAGATCCTGCCCTCTTTGAACTCTTAGGATTTTGTTCTACTAATCTACTATGTGCTGTACTTGCTTGGTTCTGGTTAAGCAGAGTTTCTTGTCTGCGCCTACTTTTGCTATTTAATAATTTTGTTGTCTAACATTGATTTTTTTGCACATGCTTGATTATAGATTTTCATCTGCTTGTCATATAATTTCAATATTATCTACCTTTTTTTCATTGTCATTGCTATCTACATATTGTATTCCATTTAGACAGTTCGCATGGTCAGGAATTGTTTTTCCCCTCATTATTTTTTTTTTCGATAAAGTTGTTCAATCCCTTATGTTGTGTGTTTTTAAGTCTGTTAGTGCATCTCTATATGAGTAACATTGAATGGAAATTTCATTATTAGGAATATATGTTACATGAAAAAATGACGATGCATTATAGATTTACAGAAAATTTTTATGATGGTTAGTTAAATTTACATATTTTACTATAGCATAATGCAAGAGCTCCCAGATTTGGTTCCACTGGTAAGTTAATTATTTACTACAATTACCTAAAGGATTTACTTGTAATTCAAAATGAAATGTCTGTGCTTGTTGATCTTCTTTTGCTTCATACAGTTGTATTCAAGTACAGTTAGAGCGAATTAGGCATTCTCATATATTTTCAGCTGCCGGAAAAGGAATAGTTTGAATTTATGAGAAATGTTATTTGCAGATTGCAGTGTATACTTTATTACCTTTTTTTGGTAAGTGTCAGAAGTTTTAGTTGTGAAAATATAGTTTTAAATTAGGGAGAATGTGTTGTAACTATGGGCATTAGTTCATGGTGCTGGCTGTGAATTCTGAGCTTTTGAGTCATGAATCTTATTTGTGATTATTCTTTGTTTTTCTTTTATAAACAATCATGGATTACCTCATTGAAGGAAATTCCATAAGGATTTGAAGTGGAGATTTCATTGTTGTGGTATGTTGACCTGTGAAAAAGTGTTAAAATCCCCTGGAGTAGTCCAATACAAATGTATTATGGCTTATCTAGGAGGGTCTCATTATTCCCAATTACCTTGGATATTTTAAAATGTTTAAAATTTATTTAGAAAATTACCATATCTTGTACAAGTTCACTAAGAGGTTTTATATGATTTTTATCAAATTACGACTACTGATATATTCGAAGGGGTGGACCAAGACTTAGATAAATTTGATTTTAGTTGCTTAAATCAGAACTTGAAATGTAGAGTGTAAAAAATTAATGCCAATGATTATCTGCGCAAGGGGCTACTCATTCCATATGGACAAATTTAAGCGTTTTTTTTTTCTCTTGCTTATTTATAGAACTTTTTTTACTTTTCCTGCATAATTTCAGATTTTAAGAGTTTGTTAGCAATTTTTAGGGCACATTCCTATTTGCTTTGAATCTTAATTGAGGTTTTGTATTATTTTAATTTTTGAGAAATAGGTTTCAATTTTTAATCCAAATTTCAAGTTTGAATAGAATAGTTTATTAATTCTTATCTCTCAAAACTTACTCTCTTCCAATACCCTTTGATTCTCTCTCCCCCGTAGTTTTGGTTCTAACTAAGTGCAGTAGGGATCTCAACCTCCACTTCTCTCTTTATCAATAGTAACTGGCAACTTCCTGAGTCTTGTACAATTTTCCAACATTTATAGGCTGATTGCTCATCTTTCCAAGAGATGAATCAATTCCAAATGTTTCTTTTCTCTTCAATTTGCTGCCTCGTTGAAATTCACCTCATTGATAACAGAACTGTATTCATAAGAACTTAGAGGTGCACAACAACAAAAAAATAGATCCTTGACTAGAGGAGCAACATACTAGAGAAGTTTGTGGCGGAGGTTTCTTAGAAAATTCAGGACTTTTTTATAATATTATCTTTCAATTTTGTTAAGTAAATTTAGCATTAATTTTATGCATGTTTTCTAATCCTGATTACATAAATCCTTTTTCTGAAATTATAAATCCAGTTGATAAGTTGCCTTGAAATTATTGTGAAGCCTTGTGAGATTTAGTTATTACCTCGGGCAATTAGGTTGGGAAGAACCAATCTCCTAAGTTAATAATGGTAAGTTTGTGACATACTTGTACACACTACATACCAAAGGACTCCATCCAAATCCACTTGGAAGATATTGGACGCCAATCTTATCCAATAAGAATTTTGGATCATTCTAGTATCGGAGCAGGAATGCCTAACTAAGAGTGAGTGATCTAAGATGGAATTAACCCCCAAAATTTTATTATTAAGAGGCAGCAGGTAAAAGAACCTACGACTATTGAAAGAGATTACAATTCACTAAATGAAAATGGTGCTAGGTTTTTCAAAATAAATAATGTATTTGAATATGATGGAGAAAATGAATTAATTGTGGGATCCAATATCCCAAAAAGAAAAAGAGGTTCCCTTCACAATTTGTGGTCAAAGCCCTGATATTCTTGAAGACATTGATGAAGGGAATTGAGAAAGCTCAACTATTAGTGAGACACCCATCTATTTTAAAGTCGATCTAAAACTAGAGTTGGTTTCCTTTGATGGCACATTGGATGCTCGAGAGACCTGTATCTACTTCTATTAGTATGCTAGTGCACCTAAAACGAAATGTTACACATATTTGGTGGATGCAAACTCTTTAAACTATGACATTTATAAAATGATGTTGGTACATTTTAAGTGAATGCTGAAGGCCAATTTTATTCTATTGACCATGACAAAAAGAAGTTGTTATTGTATCATCAACAGAGGCAGAAATATGAACAATCGATATATAAGAATATTTTATTGAGTTATAGAAACATACTGATAGACTAGTTCAATAAGGACCGGTTTAGACATATAGGAGGCAGAACATGAGAGTTCTGCCCTCTTCTCTGCCGCCCACTTTATGTGATGAGATCCGGGCTGTAGTTAGAGTGATGAGGCCCCAGGACTTCGGGGAGGCTATGGATCTCGCACATTTAGTGGAGGACCAGGTACACTTGGAAAGGGGGCCATATGTAGTAGTTCGGGAGGCTTATACAAGATGAGAATGACCACCACATTCTTAGCTCCTAAAGGACTAGTACTGGGAAACCTTCTTGAGGCCCCACTGGAGAAGACTGTAGGAGCGGGATTCAGGGAAATTTTAAGAAGCTCACTTAGAAGAATCTACAGGAGAAACGAGTGAAGGAATTGTATTTTAGATGTGATGAGAGATGCACACCGGGGAATAGGTGTAATGAATGAACTCTTTAGGTTCTCACCGCTTGTGATGACGAGGAAGCTAAGGGGAGACGAGAGTGGGGAAGTGGTGGAAGAGGAGAAAAAGTTGCATCTTGACATGGCCGAAGTCTTCTAAAACTCAGTGATGGGGTTCACCCCAAATCACACCATGAAGGTGAAAGGAGAAATAGTAGACAAAGAGGTGGTGATGTTGATCGATAGTGGGGTTACTCACCATTTTATCTCATTTGGGGTGAAATTGGTGGACATAGGGGGTTATGGGGTGATGATGGGCGCTGAGAAGGTGGAGATGGGTCGAGGAGTGTGTAGGGGAGTGGTGTTGACCATGCAGGGGGGTCAAGTGAGGGGAGATTTTCTCTCGTTGGAGTTAAGGAGCACTGATGTCATCTTGAGGATGAAATGATTTCAGATCTTAGGAGATACCAGGATTAAATGTTGAGCATTGACGATGCAGCTGGTGTTAGAAGGAAGAAAAGTGGTGATCCAGGGGATGCATGGTTGTCCAAGGCCATGGTGTCTCTCAAAACTATGGTCCGAACCATATAGGAGGTGGAAGGAGGGTTTTTGGTGGAACTGCAGCGCTCGAAAGGGATCAAAATTGAGGAAGGGGGACATCCCCCTTTCAGTGCAGCTACTCATACATTAGTTCAGTGAGGTTTTTCAGCCACCTCAAGACTTACACCACTGAAAGAGCAGGAACACGCCATCACCTTAATGGAGGGGGTATCACCGATTAGTGTCCGACCCTACAATTACCCTCAGATTCAGAAGAATAGATTGAGAAGCTGATCAGGGAGATGTTGGAGCAGAGATCATCAGGTCGAGTGTAAGTCCTTTTTCTAGCCCAGTCTTGCTGGTCAAGAAGGACGGGAGTTGGAGATCTAGTTTGCCATTGGGGATAGGGTATTCTTAAAGTTGTGAGCCTACTGACAGAGGATAATAGGCAACATAAGGAATTAAAAGCTAGCCCCGAGGTACTTTGGCTTGTATAAGGTGCTTGAGAGAATTGGAGTCGTGGTCTATTGCTTGAAGTTACCCTCGACCACTTCCATTCACCCCGTGTCACACGTATCACAGTTGGGGAGAGACGTGGGAGATCATGCAGCCAGTTTAGAATTATCAGGGCTGCTGACAGAGGAGCTAGAGGTGGTTTTGGAAGCACTCGAGCTTCAAGGGGTATGACAGGAAGAGGGAGGGTCCCAGAAAGTGCTGATTAAGTGGAAGAACATACCTAACTATGAGGCCACATGGGAGCCATATGAGAGGGTGAGTTTCTCTCGTTCCATCTTGAGGACAATTTTGCTCTTTGGGAGGGTAGTATTGATAGACTGATCCAACAAGGACCGGTTTAGACATATAAGAGGCAGAACAGGAGAGTTCCTCCCTCTTCTCTACCACCCACTCTATGTGGGTTCCACAAATTTAATTAAAGGGATTTGGGGGTGGATTAGGAGGGAAAACTCAAATAGCAAGGGTGGTTTTGGGTTTTTAGGGTTTACTTCTGCTTTTGCTGAAATTTTCTGTTTTCTAGTATTTGCTTGGGGTCTAGCGGTGTCTAGATATTTGAAAGAGCAGGATCTTCCTCTCTAATAGACGATCCATTGTATCTGGTCGTTTTATTTCTGTATTCCAGCAATATAAAAGGCTATTTGAATGCTTCGCTATAAGATCCTTCTCTTTCTTTGGTTCAAATTTGTTGAAATTTCAGATTTTGCCATCAATTTCTTCGTTTGTTTCTTAACACATACCTTCTTGCTTAGGCAGTAAAAAATTGTTATTCCAAAAATGGTTGTATGACTCTCCAAAGGTTTCTAAAGGAAACTTAGGGCTTTTTGGTTTGAAGTAAAAGGGGTATAAAATATTTCAAATGTTGATGTTTTAAAAATATTGATGTTTGGTCTGAAGTAGAAGAGATGTAGAGTAAAATTTTAAAATATTTGGAATTCACTGTTTAGTTAAATTTTGGTGTATTTAGAAATTGTTATATTTGGCTGATTTTCAAATACACCATAATTTCCATGCTATTATTCTACAAGATGCTATCAACTCCCTCTAGATGCTGACTACATCAGTTGTTTGCCATTGTTACAAACACTGGCCATCGCCGCCAACTACGGCCATCGCCTGCCACTTACAGCTAGCTGCTAGCCACTGCTATCGGCAATCGCTACTAGCCACTGCCTCCTTAGTATCCCCCGCCACCACCTCAATTGCCGCTACCTCCATTTCCACTGTCGCCTTCATCTTCACCACCGCTACCTGCTGGCCTATGGCCACCACCATCATTGGACTTTGCACTTCATTCTTTTTATTTTAAGCCAAACAAAAAACAAGTAATCACAGGTATTTATTTAACACTTATCCAAACAAATTCAAATATTTCAAATATATCGTGTTCCTTTTACACAGTATTTCATTTTACTTTGCATTCTATTTTCATCGAACCAAATGAACTCGAAAGCTTTTTTCAATGCATTTTATTATAGAGGCCATGATAAAGATTAGTTGATCTTGTGGCATCAATTGCGGCAAAAATATGAACAATTGGTACAAGAATATACCACAAAGCTTTGGTGATATATAGGAATGCATTCTAGGTATAGGATTTTACACTTACTGACAAGAAAAAGAAAAATGAAGTTATTGGATTTTACACTTACTGACAAGACAAGAAAAATGAAGTTTAAAATTTATAGATGCTAATGTTTGGATTTTATGAATGAGAACATAAAAATGCTTGGTACAAGAAAGGAAACTAAGTTACAAATGATGAGGTACTACTTAGGAAGGTTCGTAGTTCAGAGAGAGAGAGAGAAATATAGAGTGCTAGTCCGAGGGAGGGTGAAACGAGGGAACAAGGGTGAAATGGATGAATTTCATGCTTACCTAGCTGCTGTCATGGGGACGCCATATTATTGTACACTAGATGTAGATGTGGTACTATTTTATCATATCTAAAATACGTTATATGAAGGTATATAATTAAAATTTTTTTATGCTTAATATATTTACTGAAATTCATCTTTCAAATTTCTTGCCTCTAGTTTATAATTTGATTTCCTTTAATAATGACATTGTGCTCTAATGTTGATGAACAAAGACCAATCATGTTTTGTTTTATGTCCTAATTGATTCTTTACCCGTTCCGTAAGAAGATGATTATTTCTCACCATTCAGAGCCATGCAAACGATATTTATTCTCCATACGAGATAAATTAACATGTATTGTAGTTTTTACGGAGCTAATTTTTGTGCTGCTTTTGCTGTTATGGACCCTTCTAATTTAGTTAAGAAACTTGTTTCATATTTCCTTTTCCAACTTTGTTTGATATTAACTTTTTTTAACAGATCAGAGCTTGGCTTGGATCCAGGAAGTGAACCAAATACTGTTTATCATGTTGAGCAGGTTGTCAAATGTAGGGTTACTAGCTCGGTTACTGCTTCACGAATTATCCGTGTTAGTTTTGTGATTTCTCCTAAAAGGTCCCCCCTCTCACCCTCATGTTCTCACCCAATACCTTTTGGTCTTTTTTTTTGTCATGGGCATATGGTCACATTTGAACTGCATGAACTTGTGCAACCTTATTTTATTCATTGGTTTTTAAAGTATGCAAAAGCCCCAAATAGTTGGGATAAGTGGATGAAGATGATTGTGGTGGTTTTTAACTTATGCAATTGGGCCAAAAATATATATATTTTTTCCATATGGACATTTGCCCATGCTTAACGGTGTTTGAATGTATTATTAGTCGAACCATGTTGCTTGAAAGGGAACTACAGTGTGCCTCCATGTCTTTGGAGGATGGCCTATCTCATTTCATTGAGGGATCCTTTTTTTGCTGTAAACGTTGAATACATCTGTGTTTGAATTGCTATTGTGAGTGCGCATAACTACTCTGTGTGCAACAAACCTTCTAAAATCTGCAAAAAATGACACGAGCAATGCAAAGGAGCACCGGTGATTGAAGAGGTGTAACTGCTTTGGATGATCACAAATGGCATGGTGCCAAAAAATTAGATTTTAAAAGGGGAGGAACATTAATAAGCAAAAATTGATGATAAAGTAAGAACAAAGTTTATTCGGTGGAAGACATTGAAGGAAAGCTAAAATGAGAACCCTTTATATGTAAAATTTTAGCCGGTATGAAAATTTCATTTAATAGGATTTATTGGTTGTTAAATGGGAAGACAACTATGGTTGAATACAAACTTTGAAAAAGGTTTATTGGTAAAAAAGACTACGATGTGTAATTATTTTGTGATAATGTGTAACTTATTATAACCATGGTTTAAAATTGCGCAATATGAGGCTCGCCTTGAGGCCCGCCTTTGCGCAATTCCAGTAAAAAACGCCTCGATTTTTTTTATGAGGCTTGCGCTTCAACTTGGTTGAGGCCCGCCTCGCCTCACTGGCATGAGGCTTACGCCTCACGCTATATATATTAAAACTTATATAAATCTTGAAGTAAATGCCCGACATTGGATTCTATAGGAGAGGAGGAAGGGAAGAGAGCAGTTCACCATAATGATGATTCAAATGAAGAACCCCTTAGTGATGACAATGCTGATGACTTATGAGTTTTTATGTGATATGTCATTGCTATTTATGATGTGAAACCAGGAATTGTTTCTTAGAAAATTAATAGAAGTTCGTTAAAGTATTGATAATACAATTCCAAGCTTCGCTAATTTGTCGATTCAATGAAAATCTTAGAAGTTAACAAAGTCTAGGCAAGCAACTTCAACTAAGTTTACAAGTTCTATAAAATAACAACTTCAATAAAGTAATGGAAATGAATGGTCAACAAGAATCCGGCGGTTAACAAAGTGATTGTCTCACCTTGAGGCCACGCTCATTCATCTACTTCTAGGTTCGTTGGGAGAAGAAGAAACATGCTAGTGATGAGACCACTCCGAGGACGACGATGCCGTAGATTCGTAGGGAAGAAGAGGATGGCGCTGGACGTGGAGGTGGTGTGTAACGACACCCTTCGATGATCCACGTGTAGATGGAGAAATGATTGTCTATGGACTCCACTAAAGCTGGGAGGATCCGGTCTAAATACTCTTCGACGGTGTCGTCGAAGTCAAAGCCGACGTCAAAAAAAGGAGATCTGAGGATGTTAACTCGTCCACGGTTGTCGTACTCAAACCCGAAATTCCACTCGGGTTCCTCCATACATCATGGAGGTGGGATAGAACGGCACTGCGACGAAATCTCCAAAGGAGGAGCTAGTGGTCGGCGAGTTGGAAGAAAGAGGGGAGGCCGGCGGTGGGGTTAGGGTGAGGGGAGAAGTGAAATTTAGAAAAACTGAATTTAATTTCAGTTTTATGAGTTTGGGAGGGAAATAACAATAGAATTTGAATTTCCTAATTAATGCAATTAAGGCATTAATTAGAATCAATTTCGGTTAAGCCCATGAGGAGCCGGCGGTAGGGAGAGAAGGGAGGAGTTTGAAAAAACTGAAGTTATTTTCAGTTTTAGTAAAAATAGGAGGGAGGATTATTTGCATTTAATTTGTGATTTCAAATCACAAAAGGGGATTGAATGCAAACTTAATTGGGGGATTGATAGGGGGGCTGGCGGCATGAATAGAGGGAGAGAGAGTTGGGGAGAGAGGGAGAAGAGTTTTCAAATTTAGGTGGATGATGTGGACAAGTATTTTGAAAACTCCAAATTAAAGTAAATTGAAATTTGATTCAATCATGCAAACTTTCATAATTTGGAAATCCAAATTTGGAAAGAATTCAAAATTTGAATTCTAAATTTCAAATTCAGCATAGGATGAGGGAGGGGAGTTGGCCGGAAGGGGAAGGAGTGTCAGAGAGGTGGTTGGCCGGGATGGTGGTGGTGGCTGGCGGCAAGATCCAAGGAGGGCCGGCGGCTAGGGTTATGGGAAGGGGATTTTGTGGGGCTTTCAATGAGAGGGAGATGATGAACAAACAAAATAAAATAAAACTAGAGAACTCACCAAGAGATCTCAAAGGAAGAACTCACTAAGAGATCTTTTCATGCACTCACAAAGAGAACAAAGAGAGCAAATTTTCATTTCATTCAGCAATAATCCAAAATACAAAGACCAAGCCTTTATATAGGCTCAACAAGCATACGGAAAGTAAAAGACTACAATGCCCTTGGGCAACAACAAACACTAATTCCCTCATAGGGGTACAAAATGAAAAAGACAAGAAATATAAATGACATGAATAAAATAAAACATAAAAAATAAAGACGCTGAATCATGGCCGTCGATCGGCGCCTCCGGCGATGGTACACATGTCGAAATCTGATGTCCCCATCATTCTCCCCAGGTGGGAGGAAGCTTGACCCTGTCGAGCAAGGGTCCTGAGAACTCTCGTACAGCTCCAGAAGGTCAGGGTCTAGTCTCTGTATCTCCTCACGCTCCAGCCACGTGTCCTCCGTCTCCGGCTTTCCTCTCCAACGCACTAAGTATCTTTGGCGTCCGCCGTTCCTTGTGGAAATGATCTCATCACTGAGTATGGTTTCAATCTTCTCCGTATTAGGTAATGGGGGAATTTTGGGAAGTGGAGGTAGGCTTGGGATCTCACAAGGCTCAAGATTTAGTGGATTTTCAGGGTTAAAATCAGGTCCATCAAAGGCTACTAGATCCTCTATGTTAAACGTGGGGTTCATGTTGAAACCTTCAGGAAGGTCCAAGACATAGGCATTACTGTTTATTTTTGAAATTATTTTAAAGGGACCTGCGCTCTTAGCATGTAGTTTCTTAACGACCCCTGGTGGGAACCGCTCCGGACGAATCCGAACCATGACATAGTCTCCAACTTCGAACTCCTTGAAGCGTCTCTTAAGATCAGCATTAAGTTTGTATTTCTCATTACTTTGCACAATTCTTTTATTAATTTCTTGATGCAATTCTTGGATATGCGATGCAAATGCAGATGCAGACTCTGACACCCTAAGCCTAGGACTCATGGGGAGTAAGTCTATTGGTTGCCTAGGTTGGTATCCATAAACAATCTCAGCTGGGCTCATACCGGTGGTTCGATTGATGGAATTATTGTAGGCAAATTCAACAATGGGTAGTTTGGAATCCCAATCCCTAATGTTATCTCCAACTAAGGTCCTTAGAAGGTTCCCAAGGCTCCTATTAACGACTTCCGTTTGGCCATCCGTTTGAGGGTGAAAGGCGGTGGAGAATTTCAGCTTAGTACCCATTTTAATCCATAAAGTTTTCCAGAAGTAGCTCGTAAATTTCACGTCTCGATCCGACACAATTGTCTTAGGGAGTCCATGGAGTCGGATAATCTTATTAAAGTAAAGTTTGGCAATCCTAGAGGCATCGAAAGTTTTAGCACAAGGGAGGAAGTGGGCCATCTTAGAGAAGCGATCTACTACGACACAGATGGAATCATGCTTCCTAATGGTTTTGGGTAGACCTAGGACAAAATACATACTAACGTCTTGCCAAGGGCAGTTAGGGACAAGGATTGGCATGTAGAGGCTTGTGTTCTGTTTTCTCTGTTTAGCTAGTTGGCAGGTATGGCAACGTTTGATCAGTCTAGTGACATCACGCTTAAGGCTTGGCCAGAAAAATCTATACTCGACGGCTGCAATGGTCTTAGCCTGTCCAAAATGTCCAGCTAAGCCTCCTGCGTGTAGTTCCCACACAAGAAATTCACGAAGAGAGGTGTTGGGAATACACAACTTCTGAGACTTGAATAAGTAACCATCCTCTAACAAGAAATCATCTACAGATGGCTTATCTCCCGCCATTAGTAACACATATATTTCTTTAAAATCAGTACACTCTTGATAGTCATCCTTGATGCGTTCGAATCCAACAACTTCTGTTCTCATTTCTCTAGTGACCATTATCCTACGGCTCAAAGCATCGGCTGCCTTATTTTCAGTTCCGGCTTTATGTCTGATAGTGTACGAATATTCTTGTAAGAATTCAACCCAACGACCATGACGGGCATTTAACTTCTTCTGGGAGTTGATGTATCTCAAAGCCTCATGATCCGAAAAATATTACAAACTCCTGGGGTAGCAAGTAGTGTCTTTAATACCTAAGGGACTGAATGATTGCATAAAATTCCTTATCGTAGGTAGAGTACCTTTGTCATATGTCATTAAGTTTCTCGCTAAAGTATGCTACAGGAAGCCCCTCTTGTGACAAGACTCCTCCTATTCCGATCCCTAATGCGTCACAGGTTACTTCAAACACTTTAGAAAAATCTGGGAGACGCATAACAGGAGCTTCTACCATTTTCTTCTTAATATCCTCAAAAGCTCTGGTCGCTGCAGTCGTCCAATGGAATTCCCCTTTCTTAAGACAATCAGTTATGGGGGCTACAATGGTGCTGAAATTTCGAATAAACCTCCGATAGAAGGTAGCCAA